TTCGATGGTAGAGCTTCCCTGAACTCCATGGAATGTGCTGACATCTTTCCCCGGTGTTGAATCTTCCTGAGTAGCTCCCCCCAATTCTCCCTCTCTCCTGCTCTGTTCCTGTGAAGGCTTGCCGGGGCGACGTCGTCGCGGTGCTCTTGGTCGTATATACCCAGTAAGCATAAAATGCTGAGTGAAGAGAGTGGACGAACTGGATCCCTCATCTTGCTTCCCCTTGGTTCGTCGACTAGCCTCAAGTTGTCGCCGATCTGCTCGAACTTCCTCCGGTGACAGTGGCTTTAAAAGAATAGTCTTCCCATTGTGAAGAACTTTGTAGCAATTCGTGTCACCATAGTGGCAAACACCACGATCGAACTGCCATGGCCTACCGAGAAGTAAGTGAGTAGCTTGCATGGGCGCGACATCAAATTCAAGCTCGTTCTTGTACGCTCCGATATCAAAGCTGATCTTAGCTTGCTTTGTTACACGAACGGCACCATAGTCGTTAAGCCAGTGCAAGCTATATGGATCGGGGTGTCTCGTCGTCTGCAGCCCTAACTTGTCCACTGCCTCTTGACTAACAACGTTGGCACAGCTGCCTCTGTCCACGATCACGGACAAAACCTTTCCGGCGACCAAACAGCGAGAATGAAACAAATTTTCTCTTTGACTGGTATCGGACTGAAGATCCATGGTTAGAACTTAGAACTCGTCGACTAACGGTCATGAGCTTTCCTGGGGCATGTTCTGCTTCAAGCTTCTCGTCGACGTATGTCATCTGAATTTTGTTCGTCGTCGGTGAGATATTGGCTGTCCCTGATGATTAACGTCTTCAGATTGGGACATTGATTTGCTTTGTGCCATCTACCATGACATTTATAACATTGGATGCCTCCAGAGCGCTCGGTAAGTACTGTATTTGTATTCCTGGATACCAATTTGCCAGGTTCAGGTCGTGTCTGCTAGGAATTAGAGTCGGAACTTGACTCTGAAACCGCCTTGTTTGCCGGCGTGAACTTCCTCGAGGATCTCTGCTGCTTTTCAACCTTAATGGTGAGGTGAAGGGCTTCCTCCAGGTTGACAAAAGATTGAAGATCCACTTCCTGTCGAATCTCGAAGTTCAAACCATGAAGAAATCGCGCCACCGTCGCTTCTCGATCTTCCCTGACATCGGCCCGCATCATCAGCAATTCAAGTTCTCGGAAGTACTCCTACACACTCCTTGACCCTTGTTTAATCCCCTGCAGAGATTCATAGAGTTCGCGCTGGTAATAGACAGGTACGAACCTATCTCGCATAATTCCACGTAGCTCAACCCAGGTCGCGACCGGATTCTGATTATTTCGTCGCCGGCGAAGCTACAACTGCTCCCACCACTGGGCGGCGTAATCCGAGAATTCATAAGTAGCCATAGCTACTTTTTGTCCTTCAGTAAACTGTCCACATTGGAAGAAAAGCACAATCTTCCTTTCCCAGTCGAGATATGTCGAGGGATTCATTGTCCCCTAAAACGGTGGTACTGACAGCTTGATGCCCAGAGGGATTGCCGGTTCTACTTCTTGCTGTCGTTCGCGAAGATCACGGTGTGGACGTTATCGATTGGGATCAGCAATGATGAGACGCCGTTCAAGCTCCGCGATTCTATCCATCACTGCTGGATTGCCAGCTGGGTTTTCTCCGCCGGGAGCTTCCACTGTCCGAACCCGATTCTCCGGCCGAGCAATAGTCTCAAATTGCCGGTCAATTTCTTGTTTAAATTGCCCTAATTGATCTTGAATTTGATCCTGAACCATCTCCTCCATACTATCCAACAATTCCTTCATGTCAAACGCCTGTCCCGCCATTTCTATTCGCTCCTTCTTCTTCGTTGATTCTGGAAACACAAAAGCAGGGTCCTCCGATACAGGTCCTTTTGACCTTGTCCAGGGCGTCGTTGTGACCACGCTTTCCTTCGTTCTATCCACTGTGTAGAACCAGACTCTTGATGCCACTTGATGAACTCCTAGAAGTGGTTTATTGATCAGAATAGCACAGCTAAGGAATCCAAGAGTGCCCTCGAGCAAGAACTCCACAACAGGGTATGATTTGAATGTGTGTTGGTGGAAGTTTCGTGCAATTCTCACGAAGGGAGAAAGGCTCGTAAACTATAGGTAGAAGCTCGCCATGAACAGCGTGATTAGCTGAACGATACAAGCACTCGAGCTGCGTAGAACTCCTTCCAAGCAACTCTCAAACTCACGAAGCAACAAGCTTTGCGAGCCAAACTCAAGTTTGTATTCAATTCTATGAAATCTGAAAATTACAATGAATCAAAGCTACTTAAATAGACTTTGCCAATCCTACTACTCTTAGAGAAGTCCTAAACAAATTACAATTGAAAAAGGAAATCAAAACCAACAATGAAAAGGAATTAACACAAAACAGCAAATGAATCCTAATCCGCAAAGGACTCGGATTGTTGGCCTGCAAGACAGTTTTGGTCAGTCTTCATACAATCTTGCAGGCTTTCGTTTGAAGACTTCAAGGTAATGTTTCGATCAACCAACTCCACGTCGTTGTAGCAAATCACTTTTACTTTCATGTTGTACAAAGCTCCAACCTCGACTCTCCCCCATGTGCTTCGAATAATCCTCCAAAGTAGGGTACTCAAACTGGTTCTGACACTTAGCCAATTTTTGGCAGAATTCTAGTGTCGAGATAGCTTTTTGAGACGCTTTAACCATGACCCTCCTGCCTTGTTCTTGAGCTCCAAAATACTCTATCTTGTAGAGAAACTCACCAGCTTCAAAACAAGACTTCATTTGCCCATTTCAATTGATCCAATTGGAAGAAACTTGAGTGCCAAGTAAGGTACTTGAAACAGATAAAACACTTAGACAAAATTTGGAATTCATTTCATAGCTTGAGATGGATTTTGATTCAATCCATTCTAGCTTGTAGACTGAGCCAAATAGGATCATATCACAAATTTTGGAGCGAAGGCAGAGGAAAAGCCAGGAGAGAGTGGGGGACTCACAATTAATGGAACTCAAATGTAAGGAACAAAGGTGCCCCTTATAAAATTGTAAAATAAAGAATTGTTAACTTGATTGGGAAACATATTGATGAATAGGAAACCATGATCGAGAATTAAAGTTGAATTCTCTAGGTAGTGGTTTGGTTGTCAATTGTTTGTGGGAATTCATTTATAATGTTTCTTTGTACTATGTATGAGAATTGTTGATGTCTACTACGTAATTTTTAATATTTTGGTTTTCTCTAATATCCCATGAACACAAACACTCATTGAGTTGTGGTTATGTTTGAAGTAGTATTTTGGTTTCCTCTAATATCTCATGAAAACAAACACTCATTGAGTTGTTTCTTTGCTATTTCTTGTTTTTACTCATACTACTTTCATGTAGTAGAAATAAGTCAGGTTCACAACAAAATTATTTTTTCAGAATCACACTTCTTCTTTTTATGCTTAATTCACCTAAATAGTCATAACTTTTGTGCTTTTGACAATAATAGTCACTTTTTAAAAAATACACAGATATAGCCACACTTTTAAAACTTGTTTGATAAATTTAGCCATTTCCGTCAAATACTTTAACACTGTAAACGACCTTGTCAATTAAACAAACTTTTTCGCTGATGTGGATGCCACGTGGACGACACGTCATGTCCACATATGCTTATTTAATATTAATCCCAAATGCACACAATCACTGCATCAATTATAATGAATCACAACAAAATAAATACATATATTGGTACAATGTATGCAATTTAATAATACATTGTTTGGTGGTTGAGATTCTACTTTCTGTATTGACTTGCATAAAATTACTTTATGGAGAAATGTCACATTTATCCTCAACTTTTAGTATAAGACAAAAACTAATAGCCAATAGGGATATAAATGAAAAGAAAAAATGAACACAAATCTAAAATCAACAATCACATCAATCTCAACTTTTAGTGATTATTGGTGGGACCTACCTAAAACAATACATGCATTGTTTTACACTTTTTTTTTTGAAGGGGGAAATTCATTAAATGAATCCAAAGTGTACAGATTTTGGGCCTAGACCCCATGGAAGAAACACAACACTTGGACTAAGGCCCACCAAACAAACCAAACATGTGCAAAGCATAGTTCAAACAGATGCAAGTTTGAAAAGTAAACCCTAAAGCCTAATCCACCTTCCAAAAAAGAGCAGCCGCCGCCGCACAAGAGAGATCTTCACCACCGCCGACGGGAAACAGCAGGACAGCTGAACAAGAGCTCAAACCAACCATGCCTGGGAACGCTGAAACCCTAAGCCACCCAGTGAGAGAGACACCACCTTCACCACGAAAGCACAATCCTCAGGAAGAAAGATGATCAGGAGCCCAAATGGAGTGATTCTCGCCTTCGAGCTTCATGAGACTGAAACCGCGGGATGATCGCAATAGGATTCCCAGATCTTCTCCGAAACACCTGACCAAAGAGATGAAGCAAGGAGGAGGAACAGAAAACATGAAGGAGAAAGCAGGCTAAGGGAACCTCAACCTCCTCTGACACCAACAAAATCATCTCAAATGAACAGATATGAAGATCTGACATGAGGAAGAAGCAGAAGCAGCCATCTGCAAGAGAGGCGCGGAAAAGGAAGTCCCACAAGGGGATGGAAAGGACAACAAAAGACTGAAAAGCAGAAAGGAAAAAATGAAAAACAGAGGATGGGTCGCCGCCGGTCACCAGAAGGTGCCGGCGGCGGCCACTGAAAAATATGAAGGGAAGAAAGCTAGAGAGAGGCGACTGAAAAAATCTGCATTGTTTTACACTTCCAAACATTGTATTGTGCACAATACATGTATTCAATAAACATAACTCTAACAATCACAACTATTCTGGTGACCGGCGGCGGCCACTGAAAAATCTGAAGGGAAGAAAGCTAGAGAGAGGCGACTGAAAAAATCTGCATTGTTTTACACTTCCAAACATTGTATTGTGCACAATACATGTATTCAATAAACATAACTCTAACAATTACAACTACCAAACAACCCCTAAATAAATAAATGGTAAGATTACTAAATGCTGCCCTACGTCATTAACAACTTGACCTTTACTACATTAATTATCAACTAAATGGGCCTAAGAATACCAACCCAGCCTTTAGCCCAGCATTTAGTTTACCTTTTGGCATCACCGTAGGATTCCACATTCCTCTTCTCACCAAAGGAGACAGCAAAAAGGCACAGTGTAACGTTACGTAACCACACTGTTAATAATAATAATAAGGGTTAATATTTTCGTATGTCTTGAACTTTGACCAAAATAAACATCCTGGCCAATTTTTTCGATCTATAACATCCTGGCACGAACTATATACCAAAATAAACAATTTGGCCAAATCCGAATTTTGACCGTTAACTTGGACGGTCAAACGCGTTGACCGTTAGTCAACACGCCATGTCACTGCCAAGTCAGTATAAAATATTTAAAATAATTCACAATTTCCACACATGCCCTAATTTTAAATTATTATAAATTAAAAAAATCATCTAATACGTTAGTTAAACCAAAATAAAAAATGAAAAAAATTAAATATTTATCAGATCTTATGACTTGGCAGTGACGTGGCAGTGACGTGGCGCGTTGACCGTTAGTCAACGCGTTTGACCGTCCAAGTTAACGATCAAACATCGGATTTGGCCAAATTGTTTATTTTGTTGTATAGTTCGGGCCAGGATGTTATAGATCGAAAAGATTGGCCAGAATGTTTATTTTGGTCAAAGTTCAGGTCATACGGAAATATTAACCCTAATAATAACATTGATAAGCTTCTATTTTCTTCGATCAATCATCTGATCAAGAAAGAAATCACACAGACTCTTACAAATCAACTTTCATGTTTCTCTTGGTCAAAGATGCCAAATCAACAGACTCTTGTTAATAAACCCAAATCACAACTCCAACTCAGAATCTATACTCTTTCTCTACTGACGGACTGATAGAGGCCTTGGAGGTAATGTAGCTGCTGCAGCAGCCATTGTCTGAAACTTGCAGTCATTGCCATTGCTATTAGCTGCTGATAACAGAGCAACTGAATCTGACGATTTAGTAATCCTCTCGACAATCTCAAGCAACACATGCTCGAGATCTTCTCCGTCGCTCCACTCGTGGATCTCAGCCTTGATCACCATTGGATTCCTGCTGATCAGTTCCCACACTGGGAAGTTCTTCCTTGGCATCACATAGTCTGATTCAGTCAGCTTCAAGCTTGGGCAGTAATCCCCTGCTCCATCTCCAAGGTAGATCAACTTCTTGCTGCCCCCTTCTTTGGCTATGGTCGCCTGGATCCTCTCTATTATCAATCCCTGCAAACAATGTTACGAAAGGAGAATTCGAACTACATAAGACAATGTCTTCAAATTAAATTATGGGACAGAAACCAGACAAAACAAACAGCTCTTTTACCTTGCACATGTTGGGAGGGCAGAGGGTGCAGCCATGGGCAGATTTGGTGAAATCATGGTAAGGAGAAATCCTCAGCCTTCCTTCTTCATCCACAAATCCAGGATTCGTGTTGATTTCAGAGAAGTAGTTCCTCAATCCGAGGTGTTCCAAAATCGTCTCAATAAAGAACAAATTCGCATCACTCACAATCCTCAGCTCGCACCTAACAAACCCAATAAAACAAAACAAAAACAAAGTACACGTGACATGAGCCCCAAAGTTTTTTTTACCGGAAAGGACAGCAAGAAAGTGGAAGGAAAGTTGAATATTTTAAAGTTAGGGTTTTTTTTACCCCAACGCATGAGCAGATTTGATGGCGGGAGCAACCCTAGGGTGGATTGGGACGCGTTGTAGAGCTCCAACAATGTCGTCGATGTTTCTCCCATGTTCATGAATCTCCTTCATCATCCTACCCTGTAAGACAAATCGGAAAAAGAGCTGGGTAAGGAAAAGAAGAAAAAAAAGGCACTATTGCAGAGAAATATGACGCCATTGATTGATGGAATTAAAAGACGAACCATGAGGGAGTTCCAAGGCATGGTGGGGAGTAGCTGATTGAACAAATCAGTGAAACCCAGTTCATCTACCACCCAATTATCGCTGTCCACGTCGATTATGGTCTTGTCGAAGTCGAAAACCACCACGGTCCCCGCCATTGGCCGAGTTTGGTAAAGCTGGGAGCCTTGTGTTTTTTTGTGAAGAGAGGAAGAAAGGTAAAGCGTGGAACTCTGTTTTGTGAAGAGGGAGGGGAGTGGTTTGTGATTTTACTGCTGTATTTGGGAGGAGGGGAAAGGGGTATTTATTATGGGCGTAAAGCAGTTCCGCCGAAGGGCTGGGGAAGGGGATTTTGGTTTGATTCCAAACGAATATTACAGTCCCGACCCGACTCCAAGTGCAGAGAAGGAAAGCAGAAGGAGAGAGCTTAAGCCGCCACCACCGCCACCTTTTTTGGTGATTAGACGATGTGTTAATTAGGGATTAGATTTCAAAATCAACGGCTTTCATTAGGAAACGAAATGCGAGAATATTCGGAGCTCCAAATTGGAGCTCTCTAATTCAAAGGAAAAGGGAATATTCCATCACCCAAAAGCAACATTCTCAAGCTGGTGTTGTGTTTCGACTTCGCTTCGGTTAGGTTGCAAAACAGCCGAAAGAACCCGCAACATTTGTTCAACGAGGAGGATTTGTGGTTTCATTCAAATTAAACCAAGGAAAAAGAAAAGAAAAGGTCCGTGGTTCCATTTTTTTTTTTATGGTAATCTGTATAGCAATTCTTATTGATCAATATTTGTGGTTACATTGTCCAACACTAATTGATCAATCAAAAAGACAGTAGGCCTATCAAACCAAACTGAGCTAACCTCAGCTCTAGAGTTTGAATGAGCCATGATGTGAGCAGCTTCGTTGCCTTTACGTCGAATATGACGCCATGTACTCTCCCCCATACCTTCCAACAGTCTTCGAATATTCCTGCATAAATACCTGTCTCTGACTAGATGTTAGTTGCCTCGTCGAGCTTGGATATCGTCCCCAGGCTTTCTGTTTCCATTACCACATTGCGAAAGTGGTGTTGGTACCCAATTTGGATCCCAAACTTAGCAGCCATACTTCTGCTTCATCAACCGTCCAGTTCCCTATAACCTTCTTTGTTGCAACCATTAAGAATTCCCCATTTGCGCCTTGTGCTACCATCCCAAGCCCAACTTCCATATCTTCCGTCTTTGTCGCATCAGTATTTATTTTGACACATCCTGGAGGTGGGGGCCTCCAGCTTTCCTGGGGTGGCAAAGGCATTGCACTACTTCTACGTGCTTATTCTTCTTTATATTCTGCAAGAAAAGGTTCAGCTCGGGGGATTATATCCTGTTCAGCTAGCTTCTGACCATTAAACAGGTGCACATTGCGTTCCTTCCAAAGGAACCAAAGTACCTCACACCAAGCCTCAAGCTTCGCCTCATCCCCTTTCTCCATAACTGCAGCAAACCACTGATAACAGTCTGTGGAGTTGCTTCACAAGAAGCACTCAGCGTAGACAGTGGGGTGCCAAAGGCGTGAGGTCCATGCACACTCACCGAAAAGATGCTTTTGGGTTTCCTTTAAGCCACAGAACGGGCATTTATCACTCGCCTTCGTACTCTTCGTGCTAATATGGTCACCTGTTGCCAATATATCCCTCATAAAGCGCCACACAAAATGCTTTACCGTAGGAGGGATCGCCATAGACCACATCTTCTTCCAGACTGCTATCTAACCATGTCCATCTTGCTGATTTCTTTGAAGAAAGTCTTTTGCCCATTCCTTATACCCATCTTTCACTGTGTAAAGCCCTAATTCATTCGCTTCCCAGATCTGCATGTCTTGTTCCGTGGTTCCTTGAAGGGGGATTTGCAGCAACCTTTGCCCGATCTCGATAGGGAGGCAGCTGTCAATGACGATCCAATCCCACTGGCCCATTTTGGGCGAGATCAGGTCCCTCACTCGCGCGTCAATAGGTAGACCCCGATGAGCAACATCAACAAAGGTCGGGTTGCACGCAGGAAGCTATCTATCTCCCCATATCCTCACATTAGCACCATTTCCAATACGCCAATGAAGTCCCCCGTTTAAGAACTCCTGGGCACTCATCAGGCTCCTCCAAATAAAACTTGGTCGATACCCGATGTGAGCCTGTAGAACTGACGTGTGTTTAAAGTATTTAGCCTTCATGATTCTACCAATGAGAGAGTTCGACCGCTGATGCAGCCGCCAAAGCTGCTTTGCTAGCATTGCTGTATTAAAGCCTTCCAAATCCCGAAATCCCATGCCACCTTCTTCCTTGTGCACCATAATAGCTTATCGGCTTAACCGACGAACACGCTTCTCAGACCCCTTTTGACCCCAATAGAAATTCATAATCAGAATATGAGCCTCGTTTTCACTGTAATCGGGACTCTGGAAACCGACATTGCATAGGTTAATTACGCCTGTGCCACCGCTCTAATAAGTGTCTCTCTCCCTGCTATCGAAAGAGTCTTTTCCTTCCAGCCCTTTAGTTTTTTCATGATCTTGTCTGTTAAACCAGCGAAAATCTCCTTCTTTGATCGTCCTACCACCGTTGGCAGGCCTAGATATTTCTCATGCTTTTCAACAATAGGCATCTGCAGGTTCCACTCATCATAAGTCGCTGGTGCGGCTTGATAAAACCACTAAACGCCACCGCTGACTTTGGGAAGCTCACTAGTTGACCCGATTCTACTTCATAAGCATGCAGAATGTCCTTCAACACCTTGCTCTCCTCCTCCGTAGCTCTTCCAAAGAGCGAAGAACGAGTCACTACCCTAAACTTTTTAGCTTGCCAAGAAACGGGAGCATCGCCCAACATAATGTAGTAACTTGTCACGGAATGGTGAGTTGACTTACAGCCTGCCCACTCTGTATCACAAATAGACCTTCAACTCTAAGGAACCAGTAGATGGAAACAAGAGGCCCTGACTGGGAGCAACCTTGAGATAGCGAATCACACAATGAGCAGTAGCCACATGGTCTAGACTAAGTGCATGCACAAACTGACTAAGGATGCTAACCAAATATGTACTGTCGGGTCTGGTGATTGTGAGGTATAGAAAATGACTAGTGAGGGGCCGATAGGAGCTCACATAATCAACAGAATCATCAGTAAGCTGAGTAAGAGTATGGTCTTGTTCCATCAAAAAGCCATTAGGCCGAGCAACGCCCAGTTCAGAGTCTACCAAAATGTCAAAGGTATACTTGCGTTGACAGAGTGATACCTTCCAACGAGGATGCAACTTCAATGCCCAAGAAGTAATTAAGGGGACCCAAATCATTAATACTAAACCAGTCGTTCAAAAAGGTCTTCACAAGTGAAATGCAATCTACGCTACCATATGTCAACACAATATCTTTGGTGCTAGAATGTGGATTCAGAGCTGAATTGGAGAGGCACTAAGAGAAGAATCTAGCTCCGTGTCCTCTTAACCAGGAGTAGAGTCACCATCCAAATGCATTCTCGTAGTTATTCCATTCCGATTTGATCCACAGTTTCATCATCGACAACAAATGGCTCCCCCTCCCCACTGTCACTTCGAACACATTTCAAGGCAAGTTCATGCACTTGAGCGCGACAGGGAGCATATAACATGGATGGCGAGGTAGAAGGTTGCTCAACAAAATGAAAGGAATGCTCCGCAAAATGCACATCACATAATACGAAGACCCTACAAGCTTGGAGATCGAAGACACTATACCCCTTCTGATTTTTTGGGTATCCAATGAAAATGACAACCCTCCCCCTTTCGACAAACTTGTCTATACCGTGGTGTGTATCCTTAGCATATACTGGACATTCAAAGCGGCATATGTGGTAATAAGTGGGCATTCGACCAAGAAGAATTGCCCTTGTCATCTCTAAAAGGTGTCGATGCTTACGCTCTACAACCCCGTTGTACTAAGGGGTATCCATGAAAGAAGTCTGTAGGATGATTTCCTTCTCTTCATAGTATAGGAAAAGAAAATGAGTTTGAACCTGGAGCCCATTATCTGCCTGGATACGACAAACAAATTGCTCGTATTGAGTATGTGTCAGTTCAAAATGCATCCAGAGATAACATTTTGTATAAGACTTAAATTTCATAAGATAAACCCAAATAGATATTTTGTAATCATCGACTATGGTCAAAAAGAACCCAGACCAATCCGAAGTAGAAGTCCGATATGGCACCCAAATATCAATGTGTAGAAGCTCAAACCAAGAAGAAGTTTTGATTAAACTATGAGAAAATGGAGCTCATGTATGTTTGGCACACAAACAAGAGTCACAATGCAAAGAAGGCCGAGAATCCAAATTATAACCCATAAAATCCTTTAACAAAAGCAGTCTATCTAACGAGTGATGTTCCAATCTCGTGGGTCAGATATCCACAGGTTCCACCTAGCTAGCCACCTTGCACGCTTGAGGGGAACTCCCCTAAGAAAGTCAACTAAAATAATAAAGCCCATCTAATAACCTACCAACTCCAATCGGCATTTAGGAAGGTAAGGCCTGAATCAAGTAGAAGTCACGATGAATATCACGGTGAAGTTATGATCCTGAGTCAAACAACTCACCGAAAGCAAATTACACTTGAAGTCGCCAAGAATTTGAACTTTAGAAGATCCAGATATAACATCAACCGAATTCAACCAACATGCATCCCGACAGATATGTTTGTTGCAGGCTGAATTAAGTAACCATTCATAGAGATCAAAAGTATTACCCGCCATATGTGTCGTCGATTCTATGGGTGCCTCGGGAAAAGGAGCGGACAAGAACTGTTTTAGCTGCGCGAACTGAGCTGTGGTTAACCTAGAATTGGACTCTTCTTTACCAATTCAGACTGTACATATGTTGCCTTGGGTCGACGCTGGCTAGACGATGAGTGCTCATCTCCCTGCTTCGCACGCGGATGCCTAGGAAGATAGCCGACTAGACGATATCAGGTTTCACTCGTGTGTCCTAATTTATTGCAATTGGTGCAACGAGACTTGTCACGATCCTCCTTCAACTCTTTGTCTGATGGATCTTGGAAGGTCACAGAGTCACGGTATCCACTGTGGGTTGACGCCTATTGGTGATCAGATGATGTTGTTCCTTAGCCGAGATGATTTGATAAGCCTCGTTGAGTGTCGTGGTAGGCTTCGTGCTGAGAATTTGCGAACGAACAACAACATACCCATCATCTAATCCAAGCAAAAACTCAAACAAGCGCTCGATTTCCTATCTTGTTTGATGAAGCGCGGGCAAATTGCAGCTACAACGACCACAAGAGCAACTGCCACTAACGCATCAAGGTATCCCACTGATTGCATCCATCTCGTCCCA